CGGAAGGTCTTCATCCTCAGCCAGGACAGGTTCTACAAGGTGCTGACCGCCGAGCAGAAGGCCAAGGCGCTGAAGGGGCAGTACAACTTCGACCACCCGGGTGAGGCTCCCCGCTCCCCGCCTTCCCCTCTCCGACACGGCCGAGGGAGCGGCTGGAGAGGGGGTTTTTTTGGAAGGGCTTGTAGAAAAAGGGCTTGCATAACGGGAATGTTGTTTCCCCCCCCCACCACCACCGGAGCATTTGTTTACTTTGGTTTCTGTGCGCTGTTGTGATGGAAGCCGCTTTGCTGGGGGGGGTAAGGCCGCTGTAACGCACCTGTGGGGAGAGCATCCCGGCTTGTACCGGGCTCTGCCTCCTCATTCCCGGCTGTTGAGAGGCCCTGTCATAAACTACATCATTCCCCAAATCCTTTCCTGATACTTCTTGCCTACGTAAAGAGCCGTTCTCCTTGCTCGGGAGTGCTGCGGGTTGCAAACGGGGCAATGACCTGCCCTTGGCCGAAGTCTGGTGCCCGCTGTGGGTTCACCAGGGTGGATAATGAAAAGCGTTAAAGATGTCTGAGGTTTTTTAAATTACTCTTAGCTAACGAACTAAGAAGAGTTGTACAAAATTATACAATTACCAAGTGGTTTGGTAAAATGATGTGATTACTAGCTTTACACGTGTCTTCTTAATTTCATTGTATTGTAGTTGTTTATAAACAGTAAATCTTCTCTTCCTTATCTCTCTAATGGGGTATAGCAATTATCACTTGGGCCGGGAGCGCTGGATTGCTGCTCATAGGAAAGAATAAGCCATAAGTTCCTTTTCTCCTGGTGCAATACTGGACAGAGAGTTTTTCCTTCAAGTCTAGAAAATCTGAGCAGAACATTTGACATAGCAGCGTCTGAAATTCTTCCTCTTTAAACCTGCCTCTTGTAGATGCTTTTGATAACGATTTGATGCGTGCAACCCTGAAGAGTATTGTTGAGGGCAAAACAGTTGAAGTACCAACATACGACTTTGTGACACATTCTAGGTAGGTTTCAGTTTTGTGTGACATCTTGGGCTGTGTACATGGATGTCCCCAGCTGAGCCTGGGGATGGACTGTGTGACTGTGGTGTGAGACCCATTTAACAACGTGCCCTGCGTGTTTTTTTCCTGGCAGACTGGCAGAGACGACGATGGTCTATCCCGCTGATGTTGTCCTCCTTGAGGGGATCCTGGTTTTCTACAGTCAGGACATTCGGGACATGTTCCATCTCCGTCTCTTTGTTGACACTGATTCCGATGTCCGTCTGTCCCGCAGAGGTAATGCCCCGCTGCCACAGGCAGCGTCCGCCTGCTCCTGTTCCTTATCCATCCTTGGCTGCGTGGTGGGACTCAGGGGTTTTATCTTCCCATCTCAGTTCTGCGGGATATGAAACGTGGGAGAGACCTTGAGCAGATCCTCAACCAGTACACCACTTTCGTCAAGCCTGCCTTTGAGGAGTTCTGCTTACCGGTACTAAATGTTTCACTAATTTGATTTGCGGGGGTTTTCTTGGGGAGGGTGAGGGAAGGAGCAGAGTTGCCTGAGGATTGGCTGCACTGTAGATGCAGCAGTGGTGGCTTTCAATATTCATATTTCACAAATCCCATGCTCTCCTCTCTGCCTCATCTGTTTAACCAGTACAAGCTGCTTGTTTAAGGAATGTAAATGGTTGGACCGTTCTCCTGGCAAAGGACCATGGAATCCCTGGAGGCTGCACACGTTTGCTCACTACCCTGGCTATTTTAGCATGGGTCCCTCTGACTGAAGCACTCCCACTCCGCGTCTATTAAGTCTTGCAGGAAAAAAGAAGAGTTGGGTTTCCAACAGACTCTCTCAACGGGGAGCACCTGGGGCAGACTGTTATAGCATCTGCTTGCTATGCCATAAAATGCGAGGCCAATTTAGCTGCTCGCGTAATCAAATTAATTGGTAAAAACCCCTTTGAGAACAAAATCCTGTATGTGGATTAAATAAGATGGAAAAGGCTAGCTCGGCTGCCTCTTGCTCTAGATCAAAGCAATTCTGGGATTGTAAAAGTACTCATTAGAAATGCTGAATTTGCCAGCCTTTTTATAAGTAGGGATGGAGGAGGAGAGCAGAGGCTCTGTGAAGATCAATAAAATGTCATCAGAGGCAGGAAGGAATTTCACAGGCACGCTGGGTACCTTGGCTGTTGGCGGAGATTTAGCAGTGGCTTGTGAAACGCTGATTAGAACCAGCTCTTGGCAAACAGACCTCAGCCTCGCAGCGGGCGACCCATTTGAAGGCAGCGTACTCTTCAGGAGTGTAAAAGCAAGTGTACTCCATGCTTGAGCTGCTACCTTTACCTGGTAATTCACTGCAAAGGGACAGTGAGAACAATCCCGACCATAAATCTGGTGCACGTTAGCCGGTATGACTTCTCAGTCATGGTAACACCTAAATGAATCGAGAGCTTTAATGTGCAGCGCCATCTTTGCCCCCAGCCTTCTGGTGTTTGGTAGCTTCTTCCTAGAATAAAGCTGACTTTTTTCCCTGTTAACAATCTCCACCACTGTTTCTCTTTTGCAGACAAAGAAGTATGCAGATGTGATCATTCCCCGAGGAGTCGACAACATGGGTAAAAGGGAGTTTGGTTCTCTGTCTGATTTCTCTGGGGAGACCGCCTTTGGGGTTGGGAAGAGGGCAGCTGGGACACCGCTGCCTTGCTTGCGTGCTTCGAAGGAAAGGGGTTTTGCTGGAGGGGAAGAAGCTGCTCGGAGCCTGACAGGGACGATGAGCTGCTCAGCCTGTGGAGGGCTGGAAAAAGTGATACGCAAGTGGAGATGCAGAGCTGGACACCAGTGTTAAAGCTGGCGTTGCAGTTGCTGGTTTCTGTTGAGGTCTGATGTCGCTGCGGAGGGCAGGCGTAGTTTCATTTAAGGGTTTGTTTTTAAAACTTGAGTTGAACAGGGCTGGATGCTCCACATTTTCTAGATAGCTCAGCCAGGAAAGCCCACATGTCCTATATTTCCCGTTCCTCTCTGCAGTTGCTATAAACCTCATAGTGCAGCACATTCAAGACATCCTCAACGGAGACATCTGCAAGTGGCAGCGAGGGGCAATGAATGGACACGGTCGGGCCTGCAAGCGCCCATTCCCTGAACAGACAGAGAACAGCAGCGTGCTAGCGGCCAGCAAACGCTCCCACCTAGAGTCCAGCAGCCGGCCGCACTAACCTGTCAGTGTCTGAAGCATTTGCCCCTGCTCCAGACCAACACTAAAGGAACTTTGGGAAAGAACTTCAACGGAATGGTTCCTCCTGGCACCGGAGAGGACACTGGTGTGAAACTTCTTGCAGACAAAGGAGTCATCCTCCCACCCCTATGTCCTCCAAAACCCCTCCCTTTTCTCCCTATGATGTCTGGAGTTATAATGTTACTTGATGAACTCATTAACGACAGTGCTACTTGCTTTTTTTTTTTAACTTTCCAAATGAGATCTAATGCTGAAGTCTTTCCTGAATATTAAGTGCTCCCAGGTGATTAGCAAGATACCCCATTTCCTGATGATCTTCCTTAGCTGGGAAATTATCTGTTTTTTCAAAAGAAAAAAAACCAGCCTCTTTATCCCAGACTAGCTTGCACCCTGTTGATTTTAACAAGCAGGTGCAGTCCTTACTCTTCTTCACCTTGTTGGCGCCTTGAGTTCTGGCACTGCTCTCCTGCTGGCCAGCCTCCTTTTTAGCCTCTGATAGCCCGGGGAGGCAGAAGGGGTGACCTGTAGAGGAATCTCTTCCTGAAACAGGGGCTGGCTGGGACAAATGGGAACTTGCAGCTCATCGGGGGACAGGCCCAAGAAGTTGGGTGATTCTGGTTCCTAATTTATTCCTTTCTAAGCTCTGGAATCTTGCTATACTGTATGATTTTTTTATTATTATTTTTTTGGTACCCAAATAGTCTCCTTTACCACAGTTACTGAATGTGTGAGCTCCAACTGGATTGAGTTGCTCATGGAAACAGAAACCTGACCTTGTCAGTATTTGTGTCTTTTGGGGCACTTCTGCACTGCTGGTTGCAGATTCTGCTGGGCGGAATCCCTCCACTTCCAGGGCTGGGCGGTAAGATCAGCGAGGGGGAAAGCTGTGAATTGCAAGACCCTCCTCCTGCTGGCGCAAACAGCTGTCCGGACATGCTTCTACCCTCCAACAGCGTCCAAGCGCGTGCCTTGCACTCAGGCAGTTTAATCTCAAGACTGTCTGGTTTTCCAAAAAGAGCACATAGGAGGCTGGAAGTATAAACAGTGACATTGCAATTTCTGTAGTTTACCCCAGATAAGTGATACTGCAACAACATCGAGTTTCTGGGGGGGAAAAAAAGAATTCTGAAGCAAAGTGCCGGTTGGGCCTTTGAAAAATGTCCTTGCGATATCGTTCTTGAGTCTGAACTTACAGTGTCATTTTAAGACTGAGGGTGTAGGGGGAAATATTAATGGGAACTTTTTCATATTTACTAGTTTTCTAAAACCAAGGTCTGGCTGTGTTGGTTGTGGGTGTGTTACTTTGGCTGATAAATGCACGGAGAGCAGAAATACCTTTTATATAAAATGGTTATTTGTGCTACTTGCACTATACCAGCACAAAGGTACAGAAAGGAACACTTCTGGAGATACTCTTATACTCAACAGGTCTTTCTCCCCTTAACTCAGAATTGTTAACTTTAGTTTTGTAATGGATGAAGCTTTAGTGAAGAGAAAAAAAAAAAACCTTAAAAAAAAATGCAGTCTGCACTTTCACCCCTATAGTCTTTTCAACACTGGAATAGTCACTAAAACCTACTTTGAATGACTGTGGTGTTTGATCATACCTTCCTCTGGGTGCAGGGGAGCTCAAAGCAGCCTTGAGCATATAACAAATAGCACTTGTTAGAGCCGTGAGGAACTCCTCTACAGTAAAAATCACCCTGGTCTGTCCAAGGATGGCTGCTCTTGGTCAGCTTTGAGCTGTACTGCAAGATCCTGCTGCTGCAGCCACGTGTTAAAAAATACAAGTGGTGTAGGTACTATAGCCTGTGTAGAATACTTGCACAGAGCTGTTTTACACATTTTCCCCCGAGCCATCCCAGTCCTTCACTTGCACCTTCTCCTCCTCCTCTGTCAGTTCCTCCGCAGGTGCAGGCCAGGGCATGGGCTGAGTTAACAATGTTTTTAACCCAAACCCACGTGTACAGGTTGGAGCAGGTTTCCTTGTCAGCAGGATCAGTTCTACCTTGCTCAGAATTCCTCTTCCTGAGCTTTGAGGTGTAACCCTGCAGCCCAGCACTGCAACGCGGCCATTGCTAGGAGCAGGCCACAGGCTTCGTATGAACGCCTCAAGGCCAAAGGATTCTTCTGGCTTTGGCTGACTTCTTGGCCTGCCTGAAGCTTTCTTTTAGCTTGTTTAGCTGTAACAGCAATTTTTTAATGTCTATTTGTTTTATTTTTGCATAGCTTCATAAAAGTTATGGTTATGCCAAATGATTATACATAGATAATAGTAACAAGTCGTTATTCCGTGCAGGATGAACTATTTATAAACTCGGCTTAATGCTGTAACGTAATGAAATAGGGATGAGAGAGCAGAGCAGTGAAAGTGGGATCAAATAATGCATTGTTGGGGAATATAGTCATGGGATGATGCTGAAGACTGCAGGGCCAGTTACTGATAGCTAAGATGATGTCTAAGCTTTAGAGCTGGGAATACACAGTTTTTAGGAGTAACAAAGAAAACACAGAGAAGTACCCCGGTGCTAGGAAACATATAAAATTGCCCTAAGTGCAATGTAGTGCAAGAAAGAAGAAACCATCAACATCCTACTCCCAGGAAAGAGGAGGAAGAAACCCTCGCAGCATGCCTTTCCTAGCAAAGCACCTGGGATATGCTGTTGACTGAAGTCAGCAACCTTCAGAGCCCGAGGGGCAGTGGAAGGGTGAGTGTAACAGGGGTAGAAATGGGGAATTGTGCTCATAACAGCTATACTCCGAGACCTTTTCTGTAACAGTATTCTTTTATTTTCTTTTCCTGTAATAATTAGATCTGGACTACTATCAATTATTTGATCAGACTGTTAAGATTTCCATTATACTAACAATAAATTCTTGGCTTTGAATAAAAGGCATTTCTTTTTGCCTGGAACAAGATTGTAACTGTTACTGTTTTCGGATAAGGATGTTCCAGCTGTCCTTCCACCGCAAGTCCTTGAGTTGAGTAACAGACAGCGCGGGCTCCCCGTAGGTCACGGGGCTGAATGTGCAATAGACAAAGTAAACCGAAGAGAACCAGGCTACGATCAATGCAGCAAACATGCTCTTGAGCAGCAGAGATCTGGGACGAGAGA